GCCCGTTTTGAGATTCTTTTACATTAAACAGAACAATGTTCTCACGTTCTTCATTGCAGTTGAATACATTTAAAGTATATTTAACCGTCTTGACTTCATTAGCCACAACCTTATTGTTGTTTCTAATGATACCCGACCATGACGTGTTAAGTTCGCATTTAAAATTTTTAATACTCTTCAAGCACATTACTAACATCAGGAATCTAAAGTTTCACTATTCTGATCCAACAAAGTCCTAAATTGCATCAGTTCAATTTTTTCATCGCTGTTTTTCTTGTTATGTTTCAACTGGCTACTACAGTTCATCTGCATTTCAATAAGTTTGTCAAACAACTTAATATTTTTTGAAAACTTCAAACACTCATTGCAAAAGTATTTCAAATTTTTGATGCTGATCATAATGCGTATGGTTTTCTTAGAATAGTCCAAACATTTATAATGAAAAAGAGCTTCGCAAAAGCAATATTTAACAGAATCTTTTACAATTTTATTAGTACACTTATTGCACTGTTGCAATGTTAAAGATTAATGCTAATCTTTGGTAACAAGACGAAGGTTGCAACTAAAGGTGACCTTCAGTTGAACTAAAAATAATTGCTTCAAACTTTTAATTTTCAGAAAAAACAAGTCAAAAAAAATATTAATCTATTTTTGTGATTTTAACGGATAAGAATAGCATAATTTCAATCGAAAACAACAAACGTAATCAACGTATAAAGTGTTGCGGTTGCGCTTATATAAGAGAACACCAAACCAGGAAAAGCAGTGAACGGGAGAAGAAAAGAATAATATTCGTTTGGATAGGCTGGACACGTGTTTCGTCCCTACCGGGGACTCATCAGCAGCCCGAACACCTATCAGAATAGTTATTGCAGTTTCTTATATAGCCCGCACAAATCACTTCGTTATCTCGTGGTGTTTTACATTCATTATTGAGGAGAGGATTGTTAGATTTTAATCGTTAGAATTTTCAATTTTCAATCCAACAGTAGTCAACGTAATCGTATTCAATGAATGTGTGTTTGTGTGTGTCTGTGTGTGTGTGGTGGTGGTGGTCTGTGTGTGTGGTGGTGGTGTGCGTGTGTGTGTTTGTGTTTGTGTGCGTGTGTGTTAAATTTAACTATTTTTGCTTAAGCAACTCTTTTCCAAGGTTTCGTGATTTTGTGAATGTTCATGAAAACACAGTTATTGTTTCATTTGTTTGTTTGTACACCCTGACGAAATCGTTGAACAAATGCACACAATAACTTGAACAATTTTCAAACAGCAATTTTATATAAAAAAAATTATATTATTAAAATCTTCTAAACGCTCTCATTCTTTGCTTCACAAGTTTCATCTTGCATATTTCAAAACTGATACCGGCGCCATTTAACACTAGTGAACTTCATGAACGTCCGGATAAATTTTTCATCCTACTGCACGTGATGGATGAATTTTTAGGATGTGACAAAAATGATGATGATGACGATGATGATGCTGATTATTGATGACGAACATGACAAGGACAATGTATGGGCCTGAGATTATGATGACCGTTGTAAAGAAACCGAGATGATGATAACGTGAAGATAAAAATAACGATGTTGCTGCTGCTGCTAACGAGGATGATGATAACTACGATGAAGCAGATTGTTGCGATGATGATGCACTGATTAGACGATGACAAGTAATGCTATATTTGTACAGTCCTCAAATTGAATTTAATCAAATTCTGCAACTTTCTGACATACAATTCTCTTTTCCTTCTTTCCAAATAGACCGACCTCTCTATTTAAACTGCACCGACGAGCTGTTTGTAAATTTTTTAATTTTGTAGCTTGCAAGTAGTTGTCGGTTATTTGAAATATAATGTATAAAAATGCATAATTTGTTTTAAAACAAAAAACTATCTAAAAATTGGAGTTTCACTCAAATTGTCTACAAATTTACAATTGCAAAATATATGAATCAGCAAAATAAATAATAATATCAATACAATTCTTATTATTTATATTGGTAGTGATAGTGGTAGACAATAATTATTTTTCAGAAGACACATGGGTCAAATTAAATAAAAACGTCTCCTACTTATTTCTAAACACTGCAATTAAAAAAGCTGAACGACCTTAAGAAAGTAACCAATTTCATACTGTGGGAGCTGACATCATAAAACTTCGACTGCCAACCTCCGACCTAATCCCAGGCATCAACATCATCTGATTTCTGATTTGTGCCTGATCTAAATCCATCTCTTGAAGACATTTCACCCGCCCGCCTACATACATTTACCAAAGTAAACCGCGATCGTACCACATCTAATATATTTGTAAGCCAACATCGCAATCTTATAAACAGTGCATTTGACGCAACGGTGTTACGGTACGCACCGATACGACGTATCGGCACCTTTTTGAATGTTGGAAAAAAATTTTTGGTTTTAAATAATAATAGTGCCGTTTTTGGGAGTAATCAGCAAAAAAAGGCTGTCAACCGTTGGCTCCCCTGACTAAAGTTGTCCAGATCCGCACAAAGTTCGGCACCTATATTTTTTTTACAAAAAAGCACTACTTATAAATAATTCTTTGCTTAACCGGTAACAAGTAAAGCTCCCGACGGTAAAACGATATGATATAGCACCACACTTTCAGATTTCGTGTTTTCCTAGTCAATTATTCAATAAAAGTTTTATTAAATTTGATTAATTAAATTTATTATTTTTATTTATTTCATTATATTTTATTGTATTAAATTTATTAAATTTGGTTGTACGAAATTTGATTGTATAATTAAGTTTAATTTAAGCAAAAATACGCTTGTTGGATTATTTATTCCAAAATACACCCACCTGAAAACAACAGCTGACTGGGTGAATTGGAAAATAAAAAATGTAAAATAAAACGTCACACGATATCGTAACAGAAAAATAAGGATATAATAAAATTAAATTAAATTAAAAAAAACTTTCTTCTATAAAATGAAAGGCTAGACTTATGTATATCCTTAGGTAAAAAATTCCAGAGTTTAATACCAAAAGATAAAGCAGAGGTACTGACTATTTTTAAAAGTTCTAACGCGTGAAGAAAGTACAAAATATTCGTCTCTAATCCTAAGTAATCTAAAATGCTTGTTGAAGCGACATATAAAAACTGATTTTAAAATATTTGATGATGATAATCTTGTATAGTGTAGATTTAAATTATATATAAACAGTTCTTTTATATTAAGAAAATTTTAGTTCCTTGGAAAGGTTTTATTGATTCATATTTTTAAATGTTATATTGTGTTCTGAAATAATAATTTGGCGTTTTTAATTCTAATTTGATATGATAGCGAGAAATATTTTTTTGAAAGGCTATACAGTAGGGGAACAATGAATAGATAAAGGCTTAATATATTGAAATCAAAACCTCCTTCGGTAGTTTCTTATTAAATGTATTAAATGCCATTAACTTTATATGATTGCTGTATTAAAGGTAGTCTGTGTTCTAGCCAAAGAAAGGTTATTAAAATTTATTAGACCTCAAAACTTTGTTTAATAAACTATATTTACTTTCATATTTGATATGAAAATAATTGGATCAACAATTTTGGTACTAATTTTAGGCCATCTATCTATCCATCTATCATTCATTTGTCTTTCAATCCATATTCATCCATCCATCTATTAATCCATCCACCCATCCCTCCCTCCATCTATCCTATATCTATTTAGTGATGTTAAGTCCAAGCTGAGTTCAGCCAAGCCGATGGAGCTAATTCGGCTCGGTTCAGAGTTGGAAGCTTCAAGCCGCGAGACTAGCCATTCTCTAGTTATAATGTAGTCGATTGGGTATTTTGTCCTTTAGTCAGGTGAAACCCACGTAGCTTTCCTTCTAATCTTTTGAATAAAATGTTTGTTTGAGATACGCAGGTTGTTGTTACTACACAGTTTGAGCAACTGTGTTCCGTTGTCATTTTCTTCTTCATTCAGCATTCCGTATCTTTCTAGTGTTTTACCTCATACTCTAAAGTCATTTCCTACCTTGACGTTGAAATCACCTATGAAGGGTAGCACATCATGTCTTGGAGTTCTGCCTAGCTCTATATGCAATTGGTTTTAAAAATTTACTTCTCAGTTTTTCGGCTACCTTAGTAGGTGCATACACTTCAATTACAGTAATACACTTCAATTAAAGTAACACAAGCATGTTTAAACTTTATTCGTAGTCGTACGACTCTGTTGCTACAGAACGAGACTTTGGTAACTGCAATGCTCATCCTTAATTCAACAGTCTACTTCCATCCTTCGCTCCACTGGTGTACCCATCTACCATCACATAAGATGGGTGTAGACCATTTCTTTCCCAAATACACTGTTATCTAGCTTTTGGATCAAGAACCCCTTTCTCACAAGGCAGCGAGTGTTTACAACAAAAATCATCCGCCGTTATCTATTAGATATTCGGCCTCTTGCACCGTAGTCTTCTGTTACAGTTGGTCCACATTACTTTGCTCCGTATTATTTGGTGCAATTGCGTTATTTCTTTGATATCGATATTCGTATATGAAGCGAACAAAATTTCGGCTTGACTCGGCTGGGATTTGAGTTTTATCGTTAACATCAATTATATCCATTTATTCATCTATCTATCCATTCATCTACCTATTATCTATCTATCCATCTATATCCATCTTTCGGGTCAGCAAAATCTTATCCAATCTTTTTTTTATTCTTTTAAATATTTTTAGTTTCAGAGTGACTAAACGTTATTGGTCACTTTCCTTCTTTATTTGAAACATTTTGGCATTGAGCGGCAAAACTATAATATTATTCGTTTATAAGCAAGCACTCACCGTAGTATGTTTGAATATGCAATATGAAGGCCACAAATACAAACGCTTGTTATATTTTGTGTTTTGCCAAATTTTAAAAAAACTTTACTACTAAGTTATAATAAAATTTATTTTAAGTTATTTGATCATTTCACTAAACAATGAAACAATCGCCCGCATGAATGGTTTGGAAACCACTACGTCAGATCTTATCGAAGGACAGCGTAACTGTTGCTGTGGATGCAGTGGTGTACTACAGAGTCTCAAACGCTACTGTATCCGTCACCAATGTGGAAGACGTCAACAGGTCGACCAGGCTCCTCGCACAGACAACTCTGAGAAATGTTCTAGGCACGAAAAACTTGAGTGAGATATTATCAGATCGTGAAAATATCAGCCATTTTATGCAGGTAACATTTAAGTTTTATTTTCCAAACCTTTATTTTCAACATTTAGAAACGATGCGATGGTGTTCTCTCTAAGCATGCAATATACAACATATACGTTATCTTTAAAATCAAAAATATATTACAAGATAGCATCGAATGAATGAAAACGTCCAATAAAACTAAGCCACGTCACATTAAGTTGTGCGCGTGGAGTGTTTGTGGAATACACATACATAAATACAGCAAACACATGTATTTGTTAGTGTATGAGTAGGTTGTGCGTGTTATTTTAAGCATTCAAGCTGCTCGTTTATTTCTGCTTATTTCAAGTTAAATGAAGAAAATGCTTACAGGATATTCTATACAAATAACTAAACCTTCGTGCCACAAAAACAGTATCATCCATACCACACTACGCACCAACACGTTATTATGCACGCGCAAGCACCGCACCACACGGGTATGATGATCTTTGAGTTTTGGATAGACAGTTTTCGAATCATGCCATTGCGTAATAGCAGCGAGAGACATGACACTTCTACCGACAAGCTAACTCTGTTACCTTTTTCTTCACATAATAATTTTTTTACTTTAGACAATTTATCGTTCTGATGGCAACAATCTACTGTTCGAAAACGCATGAAATTAGATGATTCAAACTTATGTTTAACGATGTCAGGGTTTGTGCGAGACGTTTGGCGGCATTCGGCCCTTCACGTTACTTTGGATGAGGCAGGACTGCGACATGCTTCATAAAAATAAATCAGCTGCTTTAAATTTCTGACATTCATTACACAGTTGTTCAAGTCAAGCAATTTTGAAAAATTCACTCTACTGTTAAGGAATATGCGCACTTAAACCAAAATTCAGGAAAAAAATTTTTACTCCATTTTTTGTGAATAAAAAAAATAAGTATAATTAAAAATGAGCACTATATCGATTGATCTTTGATAAATTTTGTAATTTTCTTAGTGTTATTTTTAGTTTTGATATATTATACGCTTTGCTTTTTCGTTATATATAGTTTTAAATAGTTGTATTTTTTTATAATGTGTCGGTACATGGTGTAGTAAGCATGAAATATGTATTTTGAGTGATTTGTCTGAAATATTTGTGCGATGTGCCCTAAATAATTTCATGGTAGCTGTGATGTTTATATGATTTTTGGCATATGTCGTTGTTTCATGTTGCATATGATGTCCATTTTAAAGTGTGCATATGATGTAAATTTGTGTTGCACGTGAATGTACATTTGTGCAACACATGCACCACACAACACACGCAATACATGCAACATACACAACACATGCAACGCACACAACACATGCAAAACATGCAACACACGCAACGCATGCAATGCACGTAACATATGCAATGCTTGATGTTTTCGTCGCCGACTAATTGTCTTTGTGCCGGACAACTCGATTTAAATTGACGACATGGGCGGTAGAAGAAGTTGGCGTGTATTTCAGTGAACATTTATTTTAAACATTGAATGCATGGTTAGACAGTTGCATGTGTTACTCTGCACTGCACTTAAAAGAAACGATGTCGCAGATTGTTCTGTAATATTTTTGATATATTTGAAAAGTTTACCTAAACCGCTTTTTAAAATAATGTCCAGTTTTGTGCTGATTTATATTGAAAACAAATTAAATTTCATTAATATTGTAGTAAACCAACGGCAATTTCAAAATGAAAAATACACTACTTTCATTGCTTCGTAAAAATAAAATTTTTATTTAAAGTTAATTCACCGTTCAACAACAGGCGTGTCTCGATGAAGCGACTGAACCGTGGGGCGTGAAAGTCGAACGAGTTGAAATGTTAGCCATCTTTCAAATTCATCAATTCTTAATTTATTGTTTTATAATGTTCCAGTTATAACAACAACAACACACGTTTAGACGACATTTTCCCCGAGATTTTCCCCGAGGCTACCTATGATGAAACCGAAATACCCCTCGACGCCATTCACATCTGTCACTCGCTTCAGTATCACGCAACCCCGCTTTCACTTTGTCCTTCTTCACCTGCTCTCTCCATCCCAGTCGCCGACGACCTCTTCCTATCACTCCTTTAACCTCGAACTCCAATCCCGACCCTTTCATCCCTTCTCAACACATGTCCATACCACCGCAATCTCGATCTCCTTATCAATGTCACAATGTCCTCATTCAGTCCCATCCTCGACATCAGCTCTGTACTACTCCTCCTATCCTTCACTTTAACCCCACACATCATCCTCACCATAGCTCTTTCAGCCCTCTGCAGTACACTTTCCTCCTCTCTCCTCAACACCCAAGTTTCACCACCATATACCATCGCTGCTCTCACACAAATTTTATATACCCTCCCTTTCATTTTCACTGACCATTTCTTTCCACACAATACCCGACCAAGTTCCCTAAATTTCATCGATCCCACACGAACTCTAGTCGTAACAGAGTTCAAACATCCTCCATCCGCGTTCAGCTTAACCCCTAAATAAACAAAGCTTTCCACTCTTTCAATACCACCACTCAACCCCGTACTTGAGTCCGTCCTATTAATCACACCATGAACATATTTCTTACATTTGAACGTGCCTTCCACCTTTTTCAGTGCCACTACATCTCTTATGCACCCACTTCTGACATCCTATACACAATACCGAGTTAGCCTTCACTCTCCTGTCACATACCCCACAGGGGTCTATTTTACTTATCACTTGCTCCCCACCCTCCCCACTCACCATTACCTTCGTCTTACCAATATTAACTTTTAACCCTTTCTTTTCAATAACACTTTTCCATCTGTCAAATTTTAACTGCAATTCTTCCATGCTATCAGCCATCAAGACTAAATCATCTGCATACAAAATCTCAAATAACAACCCCTCCATTATGTTTCCACACACAACATCCATCACAATTGTAAACAAAAACGGTGATAGCACTGATCCTTGATGCACTCCTACCTTAACACTAAAAGCGTCCGACATCTCCCTTCCGACCCTCACCTTTGTCTTCGCCCCTTCATACAGCTGCATCACAGCTTTAACAAGTCTCTCATTCACTCCTTTCTTCCTCAGCGCCCATTCAATGACCTTCCTCGGTACTCGATCAAAAGCCTTTTCTAGATCCACAAAACAATCTTCGTTTCTTCTTTCTATAATTCTCCTGCAACATTCTCACTATGAACAACGCATCCACCGTTCCCCTACCAGGCATAAACCCACACTGCATTTCATTAACTGTCACCATATTTCTCAACCTTTTCTCAAGCACCCTCTCCACTACCTTCATTCCATGCTCTAGCAATTTCACACCCCTATATGATATAGGGGTGTGAAATTGTAAAAAATTTCACACCCCTTTTCCCTTATACAACGGCACCAACACACTATGTTGCCAATCCTTAGGTATACCTTCATCATCCAACATACTGTTAGCAATTCTCATCATAACTTCAATTCCTATCACCCCACTCGCCTTTATATGTTCCGCCGCCACTTCCGAAACCCCTGTCGCCTTACCTAGTTTCATTTCTCTAACTGCTTTCTCTACTTCCTCCATCGTCACCTTCTCTATGGGTCCGTGTGTGACCGCGGAATCCACATCTCCATCCCATTCATTTTCTTCATTCATCAACCTTTCCATATGGGCTTTCCACACCTGAGCTTTTTCCTTCTCATCTATGCACAACTAGCCAGATCCATCCCAAACATATCCATTCCCTATAACATCTTTCCTATCCCTCATTGACTGCTTTGCTACTTTGAACATTTTCCTCGAACTCACATCAAATTCCATTTCCCTCATTAACCTATCTGATGCTTTCGTCATTGCAGTTGCCACTGCCCGAAATTTTTGCAGCCTTCTTAGCCTTTCTGTACTCAAACTCCGCTTCCCCCGTCATGTCCCTTCTCCACACCCTAAACCTCTCTTTCTTGACCTCCAAAACCTTTTTTATATCTTCATCCCACCACCACGTCTCACCATGCCTACATTTTCCTTTCGTCCATCCACATACTTTATCTGCCGTAGTCAACACACAGTCCCTATATCTCTCCCAAACATCTCCATCCTTACCACTCTCCCAACTTTCAGCCACCTTCACTTCAAATGCCTTCCTCACCTCTGCATCCTGTAACTTCCATTTCTTTCTCTTTGCCACAAACTTATCCTTCTTCCTCCTCCCCATTTCTTTTGATGCCACATCCATCACAACCATACTATGCTGCAACATACCAGGTATCGCCTTCCAATTTCTTTACATACTTTCTATGCTTCGCCCTTATCAATATATAATCTATCATTGACCTATGCTCCCCTGACCTATATGTAATTAGTCGTGCTGGTTCCCTTGTAAACCAGGTATTCCCCACCACCATGCTATGTGCATCCGCTAACTTCAACACTCTACGCCCTTCCTCATTCCGTATACTATATCCCCATCCCCCATGTACACCTTCATATCCGCCCGCATCCGCCCCCACATGACCATTCAAATCACCCAACAACACCACAAACTCATCCAACCCCGCTTGCCCAATCTCGTCAGAAACATCATCATAAAACCTATCCTTCTCCTCTTCCTTCCTACTTTGTTGCGGAGTATATCCTGATATTACCCTCACTTTTACCTTTCCAAACACCATCACCACCACAATTACACCATTGCTTTTCCGCCTCACTTCCAACACCTTCTCCACCAACTCTTCTCTTACCATCACACCAACTCCTCCCGTACCATCATCCCCCTTCCACCACAACTTATACCTTCCACCTTTAGCCCCCACAAACCTTGTACCCTCTCCCTTCCATCTGATCTCCTGTAATGCAGCCACGTCAACCATTCTCCTCTGCAACTCCTCCACCACTTCCAAACTCCTTCCTGTCAACGTGCCTACATTCGAGGTACCAAACCTCCAACCCCTTGGTCTACAAGTAATCCTTCCATCCATAGTGCCTTGCACCGCAACACTATAGAGTGGGGTGCCAGTAGCCAGACCATCCACAGAGCCTTGCACCGCAACCCCATGGACTGCGTCTCCGGGGATTCTTCGCACCCTCTTCTGCCGGATACTGAGGGCCATTGTCACTTCTGTCATCATAAGTAATTTATTTGGCTTATTTTTATGCAGGACGCCCTTCCTTACGCAACCACAGTTATAAGCGGTGGGCCTAGCCTTTGATGATCCAACATCACTCACAAGGCAGTGAGGGCCAGTTTAATGTCATAACCAGTTATAAACTGGCAACAAACTTTTTGAAAGTTGTAATATTTGTTTACATACAGCATCCAACGACAGTAACATCATGTCAGAGTGCCTGAGTCGGAATCGGTCGGAGTCGAAAATGCGGGAGTCGGAATTTTTTGGGTCCGAAGTCGGAGAAGGATATTTTTCATCCAACTCTGACATTTTGGTTGATAGCAGTAAATGTTTTTGGTTAAATGTAAGAAAATTAACCAGTACTTTTTTGTTACAATAAATATCAAAACAAAAAAATATGACATAAATAAAATTGTATATACCATTCTGACAAAAGCTGTTCGAAAATTCTATTAATTAAACGTAGAAAATGAAAAAATGCAATCCAAAACAGGTTGTCACATAAACTTTTGCCTTTGTCACAAAGTGTCACGAACTTTTTTACTTCCTTTCACCCCTCAGCGTGACACCCCTTTTTGAACAGACCCTAACTTTTATTTTTGTTTCAACAATTTATTATTTTATTCTTATTTATTCTTATTTTTATTTAAATAATCTGTAAACGTTTGAAAGTGATAAAAAATATAATTTAAAACAGGAAAGATGTGAGATTACCTGTGCAATTGCAACGGGCCATGGCGGCAGAGGCAGAAGCAGCCAGAGAAGCAAGAGCCAAAGTACAAACACTTTCACTTGAAATAATTGTAAAATTTAATGTTTTCTCAAATTATATCTTAACAAAAATAACGATTGATGTCAGGTGATAGCTGCCGAGGGCGAGCAAAAAGCAGCAAGAGCCTTGAAAGAAGCGGCAGATATCATCGACGAATCGCAATCTGCTCTACAGCTTCGCTACCTACAAACTCTTGGTCAGATAGCTTCTGAGAAGAACTCAACCATTATATTTCCTATGCCCATTGAACTCTTAAAACCTTTCAGCGGTAATATTTAAAATTATTAAACAATCTATTATATTTGTAAAACCATACTTGACATATTGAACTAAAATTTTTATTTTTCAATTTCGTTTTACAAAGGCGAAAACAATTTTTTGGGAAACCAAGCACCAACAAACTTTCCAAATAACTCTGATGTGCGCAGGAATTTGAATTTCGAATTACCTCAACTGGATGGATTGCTTATATGAAAGCCATCTCCCATCATCTCATCGGAGTTATTATTTTGATGACTCAAATTCGGTGGAAGAGTAAAATAGAAATTTTTTTAATTTTATTATTTTAAAATAAGATATTAATATTATATTGACTGCAACTGGTTGAGTGAAAATTTGATACTTCGAAGTGTATCTGATGTTTGAACGTTTGCATCATCCAGTGTTAACACTTTCATTTCACAAAATTTACGCTATTGCTGCTTGTATGCTTCTAAGTTGAACAAATAATACTAAATGTTCATAATGAACGGCATCTATTTCTACATCGTGCTTTAGTTAAAAGTATGTGTTAAACGATTTTCCGATTATTTTACACAAATACTATTATTTTATAAAAGACAAAGTTTTTGATTCTACCAATCTTCATAAAAAAAATTGACAAAAATTAAACTCTTATAATTTAGAACTAGAAATACTCCATTGTATCATTCCCATTGTACGCTCTACTGGAAGCAAGAGAAGGAGTGACGTCAACATTCGCCGAATTATGTTCATAATGCCAAAACAAAGCCGATTCCAAACCATCGACCGCCCACGTGTAAATTAAAATTACGCGGTTTCACTAATGTTTTGCTCAATATTTTCTTTGTGAACTACGCTGTGTTTTGTGTGCACATTGAAAACGAAGAATATATTGCTAATAGCATACAAAATAACTTAGTGCACGGGCAAACTTTTATTTATGTTTTAAACAGTCTCATTTTTTAAACTTGGAATTCAACTCATCTATAAAATACTCTAAAGCCATTTTGTCCGGCCAAAAAATTTCGTAATCGAAAGACGAACCCATACTATCTGACTTTTTGTTGGTTCTTCTTCTGAGCAGCTCTCCTGGCAATCCTAGATTTTAGTCAAACTAATAAAGTCAGAGCGGTGTTATGTTCATCAGTAGAATATTTAACTTTTTATGAATCGTTCAAGAAACCCATGCAGTTTCTTTGTCTCAGCTTCCTTCGTTTCTTTTTATTGTATAAAACATTTTATCATGCTTTTGGTTTTTCTCTCACTTTCAGACATTTTTCTGAACCAACTACTATCACTTTAAGGCTGAAATAAAACCAAAAATTTCATTAATTTTTTAGTTTTAGATGGTTAGAGAAGTTAATTCATCTCTATCTACATCTTGTTATGAATTAGAAAAAATCATATTCTAAGAAAAGGTGCTCATCAGCACACATTAAAAATTATATTTTCGCTAATATCGTCATGATCAGTTTGTCAGTCAATAAGTTTTGAAAAAATTTGAAAATTACGCTAGGTTTTACAAAAAAAAAATATAAAATTCCCTCATGCTGTACAAATCCAGTCTATGATGATGATAATGATTATAACAAATTATTCCTAATACAAAAGTCAAACACAACTAGGCAAAAAAAATAGCATTTAAATTAAAATGTTTCGCTTTTACTTCACTAGACAACATTGGGTAAAATATATATAATTGATGTCTCAATAAACGATTTAAATTATTAGCTGTGGCGGATCTAGACAACTTTGACGGGGGGGGGGCCAAAATTTTGAAAATGTTCAAATTTTTACGGGGAGACAAAATTTCACGGAAAGTGCCAAAATTTGTAGTAGTGTGGCTGACGACCTTAATTTGCTTATCGCGTCCGAATTTTGGTCCATTTTCTACCTAAAACCCTAAGACCCTTGTTATTAAAAAAACTGCTCAAAATTTCTAAAGCAAACGACGTCTTGAACTTTGAGCCACCCGAATAGATTTGTTACAAAAAGCACCGGTCGTAGAGTAGTCTGAATCGAGTTATGAACAACGTTCACCTCACCTATCGAACTTTGCAAAGCCGACTGCGAGATTCTTCCAACCTTGACAAGGCCACAGCGAAACAATTCGCGGCATCGCATTTACGACGAGCGTAAACGTTCTCGCGCCAAATCATGGCCCTCAGGACTATTTCTGATAACCTCGCCAACCGTTAATTTACAGCTGCGTCCTGCAAGGACGTAAGTTAGCCCAAATCTCAGACCTTCCCAAAGGCACCGTGAGTGACACGCACTCGCTTGTTGCCCCTAAGGCGAGCATTACAACCGACAAACAAGCGTGGTCATCAATCGTTTATATAACCAACTTTTTTGACAGCGCGATTTATGGTGATTTTTTTTTTAATTTTTTATTGGAACACATGAGCTTAAATTGAAAAAAAAATTATTATACACGAGCATAAAATAAGCTGAACACGTACTATACTTCGATATAAAACAAAAATTAAAAATTTTCTTAAAACCCTGGCGTGTTAAAAAGATTTTTTCAATTCTTTCAAACAGGAAACATTTTTTGAAACGCTAGGGGTACAGTACAAAATCTTTTAAACAATATGACGCGAAATCCGTGTACCAAAATTTCGTCTTTTATCTCGTCCAAATAGGAACAGGACACAAATACATAATATAAACACATACATAGAACTATAAATTTCGACAAGCTAAGCAAAATGTTTCAAGCTTTCTACTCTGTAAATATCATTTTCATCTAAAAATCTGTTCAATTTTAAATGACAAGCAGGCATGGAAACGATTCTTTTGTAAGAACAATTTAGTTGACCAAAAATTAACAACTTTTGAAATGGCTAAATTTATTTCATAATCAAATAGAAGATTTCTGTTTTTAAATATTTAACCAAAATTACCATCGAAAATGAGCATAGGCTCTGTTAGCTTCACATAACCTATGCAACTCCTGTTTCTTTCTTACACTTTTACCCTGAAGAAAATGAGAAATATCTAAAATATTTAAACGAAAATAAAATAATATTGACAAATGCTCATGATTTTCAAAAGTTCACTTTCATAAAATAATACATTTCATTTTTTCACAAACAAAACAAATATTTTGAGTTAAATAACTTATACTTTTAGTTTAAATATTCTTATAATATAATAATGTGCAAGCAATTGTTCATTTCAGACCTCATTGTTCGAGGCATCCAACAATTCTTGAGCCAACTTATCCCAAACCCGAGAAATTCTATCTTTTTCATTAGCCGACTCAATCAACCATTTCATGGCAAAAAACACTTGACTGTTGGGGGATATCGGAACCGGAACCTAAAATTTTTTTTGAGAGTTTCTAATCATAAAACATTAACAAACAAAATATATAAATTATAAAATAATTAAGTTGCTTAAAATACAAACTGCTAACAGCTCCTCTTGCTAAATTAATATAATGATTAATGAATAACCTTTACATTCAGAAAATCTAAGCATGAAAGAACTGAAACTAATTAAAAAGCAAGCAAATCACATCATAAATCAGGCAATCATAAAATGAAGAGTGTGGATTCACTTGGGTTAACGGCTGTAAATTTACCATTTAATTATCATTTATTTATTTAAATTTAATGTAGCGCTCTTTTAAAACAAACGTTTTAAAATTTGCTTTCAAAAATTTAAAAAAATGATATAATAAATTGAAACATCTTCTTCACTTCTGTGAACTGGTGTTGTTGAATATCTCCTAATTTGTATATACTATCTCTGGCAATTATATCTTAACACTCGGCATCAACACCAAAACAATGTGGTCGGCTGGGAGTCGTCCAGTCTGACGTCATTCATTTTTCAAAAGCTGGATAAGGCATCGATCCCTCACTTTTCAATGATCAACTAGGTTAGTTGCAACACATTTTGTCCCGTCACTTAAGTTAAACATTTCCGTGTTCTGAAAGATTTTAAGCTCGGTTACATACATAAGTATTTAGATGGCCTCAAACCGGAGATAATATTTTATAAAGGAAATTTTATTTCAAATTGCAGAGCATACTTAAAAAAATTTATTTCTAGATTTAATTGAATTCATTGTTGTTTTTACAATAATCATAATTATTGTTTAAAACGAGACACCGGATAAATCCCAATTAAAAAAGTTAACTTTTACTTTAAGTAAGTTAACTTTTCAGTTTAACTTTTTTTTTTAAATTTTTTTTTAAATTCCTAAGTAAACCTCTCACGTTCATTGTTATCAACACCAGCAGTTATTTCTATTAAAATTGCTTTCTTTTCATTTGAATTCAACCAATAAAAACACTGAAACGAATATGAAAAGCCAAAGATTAAACAATTCAAATGAGTTTAAATTAAAAAAATGTGATGCGCATTTTAAAAGGAAATACTGACTTGATACATAACTCCACCTCTTTTTATCTTTTTGATATTTAATAATGGTTTACAATTGTTGATTGCTTTGTTAAAAATATTTACAGGGTTAAGCTCAATAGACTCTTTTTCAAAATCTGTTTGGGCTTTATTAAATCTCTCTATCTGTGTCAACTTCACATTTTCAAAGGTCTGCAAGAACAATTAAAAATGTATATATAAGAATAAATGTAATATTTTAATATATATAAAAATATAATATATAAGATCAATTGAATTAATATTTTGTAAAAAAACTTTCAACAAACCTTGTGTACCAGATTCCTGGCTCTTTCTTTATTACCTTCACGTAATAATATTCTGATGAACTTTCTGGAATAAATATTGGCTAGAGGTTTTACTCAACAAGAATACAAAAAAGAATGGGGCGTGCTTATGCAAAATAAGTGCAGAGGTTTTTAGATAGGAATGTTAAAAAAAATTTTACAAAGTTAATTCATAATACATACAATACTAAATCATTGTAAGTAGCAAATGATGTTTGCTCATTTTGTGCAGCCTTAATTGGCCTGTACTTTCTGTCGTCGGTTTCCTCTAAAAATTCTGGAAGGTTTTCTTTTCTAAATGTGGGCTCTAAATAAATTGGACCATATCGACTATTTCTGAATGGAATAAAACTGAAAAATCAAACAGTGTATGTTAGAAAAAACTAAGTAATAAATAAATTATTTAAAACTTATCAAATTTAATTTTGTACTTTTTACAATTTTAAACAAGATTTGGCAAAATGTTCCATTTGATTATTTGCTAATATGTTTGTCATTGGAATAAGATTTGCCTTATATTATATGAATGAAAACAAATGTTATATGAATAAATAGCAAGTTCATATTAAAAAGCACGTATTTGGGATTAAGGGATTAAATCTGAAAGCCAGCTCAATTGTAGTTGAAACAGGATTTCAGCTGAATTCGTAATAGCCAAGGTTTTTTGCTAATGCCAAATTTTCAGTACAGCCATACAACATATATGTGGCACTCTGAAACACATTTTTGCTATCAATGCGGCCCCCTAAAGAAAAAGTTGGCCTACCACAGATTTACATAAATAATTTTCCATGTTTTATTTTGCCCACATTACCTGTTACCTAACCACAGAAGTGCACAGTACACACTTAAGGAATTAAAAAGTGTTTATTAAATCATATCCAACATATTTAACAAATATATAAATGTCTTGTTAGCCTCACAACATATTGTAAATTTATGAAGTTTGAGATAATGCAAATAGTAACATTGATAAAAACAAATTTTAGCAAGAAATATTGCTTATCAGGCAAAAGAGCATGCTTATTATTGTTAATATTATAGTATAATTTATAACAACTAAAATCACAATTATAATTTAAAAATTTTTTTAAATTTTTTCAAATAATTATTTTAAAATTATAATTGTTTAAAAATTTTTACTTTAATTCATGGCTTTTTATTTCCTTCTAAATTTAATTAACACACAGTCATACACATTACATTATTTGGCTGGCTTGGCTTTTCAACAAAATAAATATTTTTAAAAAATATTCTTATTTGATGAAAAAGTTTTAAAAAGTTAATTAGTGAGCTTACTCTCAGCTCTTACACAATGTGCATATGCTGTACATAGTGTAAAAAATTGTAGACAACTAATAAAAAATAAAAAAGTGAAATTTTTAATGTTGCTTTTTATTTGTGGCTAAATTTATAAAATGTTCATAATATAATAATGTTTAATAAATAAAATCAATAAAAATATAAAAAAAATGTATTGAAAAAATTAACATTTAAAAAGAAATAAAGTACATTTTTAAATACTTAATAATTTTAAAAACTTAATCCTTCTAAATTTGAATTTGTTTTAATAAATCTAAACACTCTATTACTATTCCTTCTATTATCTTACCTATTCTAAAACTCTTGATATTTTTCACAAGTTTTGTAGTCTAGACTTTATCTTTTAATTCTAGCATGTCTCTTTCTTCTCAGATTAATATTTAATAGTGTTCTTACTTTCATCTATGCAGATTTGCAGAATATAAAAACTTTTGCCTTTTTTAAAAAATCCTACACTTCTCTTTCTTGTTACTTCATTAGTTTTATAGGATTGATTATTGTAACTCGCTTTACTAGCTACTACGGTCTTCCTGATTCTACACTCTATCCTTTAATTAAGTAAAGCTTTTAACTCTGCTACTCGTCTAGTCGCTTGTGCCCCTTTCTTTTCTCATTTATCTCCATATCTTGTTTTCTTGCATTGACTACTTATCAAACATAGAATAATTTTTAAAATTTGCACATTTATGTATGAATCTCAATCTAAATTATTTTCTAAGTACTTGTCTGATATACTAATTAAACCTAAATGCCCCAGTTTACAATTGTCTTCTTCTTCTCACTCCTTCTTAACTCGTGTTAAAGACACTTTTGCTAAATCTGCATTTGCCCCTTTTTCTATCCTTTTTGTTTTTTGACTTTTGTCTACTTTTCACATCACTTATGAAATTCAGAGGGGATCTCAAAGCCCATCTGTTTGAATTTGAACAATTCATTGAAGAGTGCTGTTGGACATCGCGGAAATAGCGCTTTATTTGATTATTTTTATTTTTTATAAAGTTTAAAAAACTAATTGATTGATTATAAACTAAAATTTAATAAAGTACTAACTTATAATTATATGCATATAATTTTGTAAACAATAATGATCTTGTAAAATTTTGAGACATCTTTATTCAGATCCAACTCAGACATTCACCAAATATAATAAAATTTTATTCGCGTCTGAGAACAGAAGCGAAAAAATTTCGCAAGAACACCGGTCAAATCAAAATTTCAAAGTATGGAGGTGTAAACAAAGTGTATGAAGTTAGCTAAGGATTTCATAGCCAAGGATTTCAATAAAAGCGTTAAAAAATAAATTTCAAATATTTTCAGGGTTTATTAACAACATAAATGAGTACATTTGGTGAAAATTAAAAAAGAATCTGAGGCTCCGATTTTGTTATGACAGCTTTTCATGTTTAATATCAATAACCATAAAACATTTTTAAAATTTCAAGGTTTATTTATCACAAATTTATGCGCGTACAGTGCAGTGCAACTTTTATCAATTTCTGAAACGTAATTTTTTGTAAAGGTTTTCAAAGATTTAGGGTAAAAAACATTGAAAATGCTTTTTACTGAATAAAAATTTTATAAATCATCTAGGGCGTGTCAGTTTTCAAGTTATAATAATGACGTTGTTATGAATATAGGAGTGAAATGCGAATTAATTCTGAAGTGTTTGATTTTTTAACAAACTTTAAATATATTCAAGCCAAGGATGTTTTTTCAGTGTAGGATTTCAATATAAGCATAAAATAATAAAACTCAAATTACTCGCAAATTGTTAATCTAGGGGTTTTGAAATTTTCAGGGTTTATTTAAACAACACAATCAATCAATCAATCTTCGTTTTGCGTCCAGAGACCCGGTTTCCCGAGGTAGGACGTTGTTTTCTTTGCCATCAACTTTTTGCGCCAAATTAGACGATCAGTTGTATCCATTTTATTTAAATTTAGACCTTTCATATCTTGCTCGATTGTTTGCGACCAGGACTTCTTTGGACGGCCTTTGGGACGTGTGCCAGGTACTTCAACATCTGCAAGAAAAGTTATGGCACTGTTTCCACTTCGTTTGACATGACCAAACCACCGTAGACGGTGTGGCCGGCATTCGTCCTTTATATCATCTAAACAGCACGACGCAGGATTTCGGTAGATTTGATGTGGTCCTTCAGACTAATTCGTTGCATCCATCGGAGCATTTTCATGTCGGTTCGTTGAAGTTGTTGTTCCAGTTTCGTTGTCATCGTTTAGCGTGATGGCGGCACGTTTTCTCGTTGGTTTTGTAATTTGGGTGGTTTCTTGTTTTTTGCTTCTGAACAAGTGAGTTCTCTTCTTTTTTACTATGACTATTTTTTTCTATATCTTTCTATATCTTTTTCTTTAACTTGTAAATATTATTATGTCTTATTCTAGACTTTCTCTTAAGCCTCTCTAACACTCCTTTGTCTCCGACGAGAGTAGTTCGGCGGCGAATTTTTTACTTTAATCTTAGGTCTAATAATAACAATAAAAACAATAAATCTAACTCTAACAAAAATATAAATATAGTTAGTAACAATAATTATATTAATAATAATAATAATAATAATACTAATAGCAAGTATAATAAGAATAACATTATTAAATCCCACTCTAATGTAATTAATACTAACGATAAGAATAATAATTCTAATTCTATTAGTTTAAATAATATAACTAGATTTAAAAGTACCAATATCCAACCTACCTCTATATTTTCACTATTTAATATTAACATAAGATCAATTAATAAAAAATCGCTCTATATCCATCAAATAATCTCTTCCTCCTTACCTGACTCTTACTGAAACTTGGCACGAGGACTCTAACTCTCCCTCTCTTATTCTTGCTACTCCTGATGGTTACAGCTTCCTTGAACTCTCTAGACCTCCAAAAAATCTTCTATCATCTTCTCATTCTTCTTATGGGGGTATCTGTCTATTTTATAAATCTCTATTTACTGCTTCCATTAATACTTCCTTTAATTTTTCTTCTTTTGAATGTCTTGCTGTATCTCTTAAGTCTTCTTCTCTATCTTTTTATATTGCTGTAATCTATCGCCCTCCTTCTTCTTCTCTCACTTTATTTTTAGATGAATTCTACTCACTCGCTGAATCTCTCTACTCTTTTTTTATTCCTTTCTACATCTCTGGTGATTTCAACTTGCACTTCAATAATTTATCATGTTCTTACACTCGAAGATTTAATGATATTTTGTCTCTTTTTAACTTAACTCAATATTGTTCTTTTCCTACCCATATTTCTGGTAACACTATTTATTTTATTATAGCTTCATCTTTTTCTAAGCCTATTAATATCTCTACTAGCTCTGTTCCTTATTCTGATCACCTTCTTATTGAATCTGTTTTTTCATTAGATTTTCTTCCTTCAAATTCATCTATGTCTATTTCTAAAAGATGCTGGTCTTCTCTTAATAAAGATATTTTTCTTCAATCTCTTACTGAAACTATTTTTGATACTACCTTATTTTCTGATGTTGATGATTTTGTCTATGCTTTTAATATCTACATTACTTCTATTCTTGATAAGCTTATTCCTCTTAAATCTTTTACTTATAGGCTCTATTCTCGTAAGGCTCCTTGGTTTGATTATGCTTGTGTAGTAGCCAAGAAAAGTGTCAGACGACTGGAGAAAGCCTATAGGTTAAATCCATCTAACTCTCTTTATTCTATCTATGAATCTGAATTGATTAATTATAAATATCTACTATTCTCTAAACATTCTACTTTTCTTAGAAATTCTATAACATCTGCTTCAACATCTAAAAATAGGTGGTCTGTTCTATCTAAACTTCTACATAAAAATCCTCTCACTCATCTTTTTCTGCTCAACAGTTTCATGACTTTTTTGTAAATAAAATTACTTCTTTAAGAACATCTAATTCTAAACTTCACTAAACTTACTACTGAATCTTTTTCTGTATTTACTCCAATAAATCTTTTAGAACTAACTAAAATTGTTAATTCTATGTCGTCTACAAC